GGTTTCCATCTGGACGATAGGGAGAAACGGGGATCAATGAACTGTCAAATGGGTAAGCGAGGCTTCAGGTTGCCGATCGTACAGAAATCTCTCGGACTATGTAAGTTGCTTGAGCATCAAAGCCAGTTGATGTAAACCAGCGATGAACACAACACACCCTAACGCTACACAAGAGAAAAAACATTTTTTAAAAAACGTTATCGATTACTTTACATAGATCATTGACTATTTTTAATTCAAAGTGCAGCAATTACGGGGAGAGATTGTGGCGGCCTTGTGCGGCCGGTCTGTCACACGCTCATTGATGGGCCGCCCGCATTGTCTGTCTCTCGGTCGGGTCGATGTCTCGCGTCTTGGCCCTAGCGAGCTTGACACCAATCACTGAGGGCCATTTCCTCATTGGCTGGAGGACGTCTCCGGATCCCGTACCCTGTGCGCAGAAGCACAGAGCATACACACATCAACTGACATCTGTACTGTGAGCAGCTTCTTTCTACAGAGCCTCTCGTTAGCTCCTTTCCTACAATACGCTGTACAAAATAATCAGTCTTATCTGACTTCTGACTTGGGGAACCTTCTGTGGTCGACGATTAATCTCCTTTTGACAGGATCCTGCACTCGCGAACAGATTCCGGAAATGGAAATGCCCAGTGCTCTTTCGATGTGGGCTTGGACAGTTCTAGGCTACTGGAAATTACGCTAAGGTGGTCCAGTAATGACTCACTTTCAAGAGAACCATTGCCGCCCTGTTCGCATAGGTCTCCGTCTTCGGGGCAAGGTCAGTATTCTCTAAGCGCTCTGTGAAAACGAATCTATATAGGAGTTACTGCTGTAGGCCAGCAACAGTAGATTAAGTATGCCTGTTAACTGAAACTCGAAGATGTTAAACGGTTTGAACCTTTTTTTCGTTCCATCCTTATAACCATAATACCAGAATGTCTGCAAGAGAGAAAAAGGCATACCACCGGCTACCCAACCGACTTCATTTATCACCACCTGGTCCAATCGCAAAGGTCGCTTGAATCGCCATGCGGTCAGCGTTCGCCTTGTTTTAACTGAGGTTGTTGTGGACTAGAACCCGCGCAGTGGTGGAGCGGTAGTATGCCTTGATCATGGCAACTATTTTTGGTGGTACAACATCAAATGCTATTATCCACCATAGGGAGTCACGATGGACAGAGTTGAACGCAGCGGCAAAGTCAACAAGGCAGACAGCCGTTGGTTGTTAGTAGCTATGGCGGAATTCAAGGATTCATCTCAGTGTGAATATCTGATCCACACATCCACGGCCAGCGCGAAATCCGGCCTGGTTGTGTCGCGTCCTGGAGTCTTGCACAGAATGGAACCGCCTGCGGAGAAAGACCTTCGCAGCAATGCTGAGCCCTCCGGGTTGTCTGCCCCTCCGTCGGGTCGATGTTTCGCGTCTTGGCCCTTTGACCTAGAGGAGGATACTCTGACAACGATTACGGAAATGCCCCGGGAGACCTGCGGTACGGACGCGGGAGAAATAGTATTCCTCCACGAGGAGGTACTGCCAACCCACTTTATAGAATTGGGCGCAAGCGGCCGGATTGCAAAGGTTTCAACTCAGCACTGTGGTCTAATAGTGCTGGGAGCAGGCAATAACGACATAATACTTTCTGCATTGCCTATCACAACGGAGGCAATAGGGATCTCGGAAACGCGATCAGCCCTCCAAGAGGCCAGTGTACATACTGCAGAGTCCTGCATAGGAGGACCAGTGGAGTTAGGTGCGCAATGCGCACACGTTTGTGCAAATGATCCTTCACAGCCACGCGGACACTCGGCGGCGGAAGTGAAGGATGCAGCCTCGTCAATGTCGGCTGTTGGAGCTACCGACGCTCTCACTTCTCACAGCGGGTTACCCGTTAGCCTAGCTGCTGGCTACCCGGCACGTCCACAGGTGGAGGATTGTGGAACGATCTTCAGCGAAGGTCAGCTGTGAAATAAGCGGACTCTCGGGTCTGACGAATAAGCAATCACGGACCAGCAGCGGCAGTGCTACAAGGGCGCGGCGGGCTGAGGTCTTGCAAGCCAAAGGCCTATAAAGTGTTGCAAAGCCCGACGATGGCGCTGTGACATGGCGAGCGTGACCGCCATCAAATAAGTTCGCTTGCCACTGCTGCCTTGTGGTTAGGCTATTGAGCCAGAGCGCTAGAAAAGATAACCTCGAATGAACAATCCGTGTGGCTATTGAGGACCCGCCCGTGCTCAAAATACCTAAGACACTTCATGCAAAATATGTCCAATAACCACGTTACGATCTAGGATGCCGACGCGCTCCTCAACCCTTGTCCACTAGTGCGAGCTGGACTGCTCAATCGAATTTGGACGTTTGGGATTGGATGCTGGAATGTGTGAACGTTCCTGGACCCTAGTACCCAAAACCTTATGGTGCGCAGTCTTTATCAGTATAACGTAGATGCCTGCTGCCTGCCCGAAGTCCGACTTCCTGACTCAGGCGCTCAAGAAATAAACGTTCCTGGAGCTAAATCCTACTTCACCTTATACCACAGTGGCCCACGTGACTCCTCCGGCAGATATGGTGTGACAATTGCCCTCTTGTAACAAGCGACCCGTGCACTACTTGCCTGGGAACCAGTCAATGAACGCATGGATTTTGTGCGCTTAAAGGGTCACTTTACAAACATATCTGTCGGCGAAATATATGCAACAACTTCCGCTGCTGACCAGCGCGATAAAGAGATGCTTTACTCACAGCTACGAACTTTGGTTGAAAGGCTCCATCGCCGCGATCTGCTGATGGTTGCCGGGGACTAGAAAGGCCGGGCCGAGCCTTTTGACTCCATAAACAGTCATCCTATCGGCCGCTTTGGGCTTGGTTCTCGATTTGAGAAGGATGAAAGATTGGTAAACCTATCCAATATCATGCGAACTGCCTTCTGAAGGAGAAAGCGCCAACGCCATAAAAAGACTGCGCAATAGTAAAGCACCTGGAGAGGACGGCACACCCGCCGAAATCTGCAAGTCTTGTGTCGACACTGGCGCCTTGGCTCCGTGAGGTGATTGCACAAGCGTGGAGAGACGAGGCCATGCCTGATGACTGGGGCTCAGTCATCCTTATGCCTGTCCACAAGAAGGGAGATAAGACAAGATGTGAGAACTACCGCGGCATAACTATAGTAAACTACGGTTCAAAACGCATCCAGTCTAAGAAACAAGACCCTCCGA